CCATAAAATTACACCCGATCCAAGCGAAAATGCATACCCAGAAGTGCTTCTCGTATCATCAACACATCCGGCCTAATCACTATCACAAAATCCAATTAACTTTGCATCAAGAAATTTCTCATAAAAAATTCCATAATCAAGTGTACCTTGAATGTATCTCAACACTCTTTTTGCAACCCCAAAATGAATTTGGCTTGGACTGCGCATGAACCGAGACAATAAACTTGTAGCATACATGATGTCCGGTCTTGTAGCAGTTAAGTACAAGAAACTTCCAACCAAACTTCTATAACAAGATGCTTCAGTTTCGTTGCTTCCGTCTTCCTTTGACAACTTTTCATTCACAATCAAGGGAGTAGCAACTGATTTGCAATTCTTCATTTGGAATTTCTCAAGAAGTGTTTGAGCATACTTTTTTTGGAAAATAAAAACACCACCATTGTTTTGGTAAATTTCAATGCCTAAAAAATGATGCAATAGTCCCAAATCACTCATTTCATATTTCTTCATCATCTCCCTTTTAAAATCTTCAATCAATTTTTCATCACTACCGGTAAAAACCAAATCATCAACATAAAGTGAAACAATGAGAATACCGGTTGTACCTTGCCTCTTGATGTACAAAGTTGGCTCACTTTTGCTTCTTTGAAAACCCTTTTTTATTGAAGTAAGCATCAATTTCACTATACCATGTACACTTGCTTTAGGCCATATAAAGCCTTCTTCAACTTGTACACTTTATCTTCTTTGCCTTTGACAACAAAGCCTTGAGGTTGATCAACATACACCTCTTCTTCTAATTTTCCATTCAAAAATGCTAATTTCACATCAAGTTGGTGCAACAACCAACCCTTTTGAGCTGCCAAAGGAATGATAGCTCTAATTGTATCAAGTCGGGCCACAGTAGCAAAAGTTTCTTGGAAATCAATTCCAGGTTGTTGTGAATACCCTTTTGCCACAAGTCTTGCTTTGTTCTTTTGAATAGTGCCACACGGATTGAACTTTGTTTTGAAAATCCACTTCACACCAATTATTTCTTTTTCTTTCGGTTTCTCCACTAACTCCCAAGTCTTGTTCTTCTCAATCACATGAATTTCATCTTCCATTGCTTTCTTCCATGCTTCATCTTTAATTGCCTCTTCAAAATTTTCAGGTTCAACAATGCATAAATTGCATCTTGCATACACATCACTAAGACTCCTTATATTTCTTGGAGTTGAACTTGGAGGTGAAGAACTTGAACTTGAACTTGAATTTGGAGAAAATTGTGAACTAGCAATTGGTGACACTCTTTGTGGAGATTCAAGAGTTGCAACATCTTTAACTTGTAGACTTTTCGATTCTTCATTGAAAGCAATGCTTTGATCTTGGACTTTCTTTTCCTTCCAATCAAAAGACGCCTTCTCATCAAAGAGAACATTTTTACAAATAATCACCTTCTTTTGATCCAAACTGAAGAGTCTATAGTCTTTGGATTTTGAGCTATAACCCACAAAGATGCATTTCTTACTATTTTCATCAAGCTTGTGCCTTACTTCTTTTGGAACATGAGCATAACAAATGCAACCAAACACCTTCAAGTGATTCACCGATGGTTTCCTTCCACTCCAAGTTTCAAATGGAGTTTTGTCCTTAAGAGCTTTTGTAGGACATCTATTCATCAAGTAAACTGCTGTACACACGGCCTCACCCCAAAAAGTTTTGGGTAGCCCCTTCTCATGTAACATAGACTTTGACATCTCCTCTATGGTTCTATTCGTTCTTTCCACGACACCATTTTGTTGTGGAGTGTACCCGACAGTCAATTGCCTTTCCATTCCAATATCTTCACAAAATTTCATAAACTCATTTGAGTTGTATTCTCCGCCTCTATCACTTCTCAATACTTTCATCAAATAACCACTTTGTCTTTCAACAAGATTTTGAAATTTCTTGAAGATAGAGAAAACTTCACTCTTTTGTCTCATGAAATACACCGAAGTCATTCTAGTAAAATCATCAACGAAGATAATAAAGTATTTGTTACCTCCATGAGTTGGTGTATCCATAGGTCCGCACACATTGGTATGGACAAGCTCCAATGGTGCTTTAGCTCTCCATACTTTCTCCTTTGGAAATGACTCCCGGTGATGCTTTCCAAGTGCACAACCTTCACAAATATGTTGCACTTTATGAATGGTTGGCAACCCAAAAACCATATTGTTTTGTTGTAGATGCTTCAAGCTTTGAAAATTCAAGTGCCCAAAAGAAGGTTCGGAAGTCCGGAGGCAGGGCTCACGGCCGCGACTCTGAAACTTCTGAACGAGCACATTATGCAACATCACCAAGCACTCACTCGGTGACGTCTGAGTCTTAAGGTCGGTCAAAAATGGGGTGTCTACACTCTGTCAAAAATTTTGCAAAAATTATCTTCAAAGTGAACAAGGTATCCATGCTCCATAAGTTGTCCAACACTTAGCAAATTTTGCTCCAAGTCTGGAACTAAGAGAACGTTGGAAATGAATCTTGTACCCATCTTGGTTTCTATAGCGATAGTACCTTTTCCTTTTGTTTGGACTAAGGTACCATTCCCCATTTTAACTTGAGAACTAGAGGAAGCATCCATTTTCACAAAAATGCTTTCATCTCCTGTCATGTGATTGCTACATCCGCTATCGAGAAACCATACATCCTTGGTTTGATCCGATGCCTTGTGACAAGCATAGAACATGTGCCCTTCACTTTCTTGCTCATCGGAAAAATTAGCTTGTTGAGTGCTCTTGACTAGGCAATCCTTCTTGACATGCCCAAATTTGTTGTAATTGTAACATTTTGGCTTTCCTTGAAACCAACAATCTTTATCAACATGATTGCTTTGGTTGCAAATTCCACACTTTTGTTGAGTGGACTCTTCATTTTCCTTTCTTTGAAAATTAGACCATCCTCTTCCGGTTGCATTTCTTGCTCCTCCTCTTCCTCTTCCTTGGGCATTAAAGGTACTAACATTGAGCTTGGATTGAAAGGCACTTTCAATTGACTTTTCAGATTGCCTACTCAACCTTTGCTCAAATGCTTTAATTGAACTCATCAATTCTGCAATACTCAAATCAGTAAGATCTTTAGTTTCTTCAATGACAACAACAATGGGATTGTATTTCTCCGGCAAACTCATCAAAATTTTCTCAACAATTCTTTGATTAGTAATATTATCCCCATAAATTTTCATTTGGTTTACAAGTTCCATAACCTTAGAAAAATAATCCTTCAACAATTCCATATCCTTCATCTTTAAATTTTCAAAATCTCTTTTCAATGATTGAAGTTTGATGGTTCTTACCTTCAAGTTGCTTCTATACTCTTTTTGAAGAATATCCCATGCCTCCTTTGCTTTTGTTGCATTGATAATTCTTGGAAAGATTGCTTCTGAAACTCCTTGTTGAATAAAAGAGAGAGCCTTTGAATCCTTCTTCCTTTGCTCTTTTAATTGGTTCTTTTGGGGATTTGTCAAAGCTCCCTCATCTTTAGGTTCCTCGAACCCATTCTCAACAAGATCCCAAAGCTCTGTATAGACAAAAATAGTTCTCATTTTCACATACCAAAAATCAAAATTTTCACCATTAAAGATAGGAGTGGATACATTTTGGTTGTTGGGATTCGCCATGGAAGTTGGTTTGTTCTTCTTCGGGACTTGATTTCCCGTATCCGATCTCTACGCCTAGCTTGTTCTTGACCCAACCAAAGCTCTGATACCACTTATGTTAGCTTTTGATAAAACCCTCTTTAGAATGAATTATATTTTGTATTGAATTTTTCTCACTTATTGATTCATATATTTTGCTCAAAGGCTTACATTCTTTTATATAGAGAAGGTTATAAATAAGTTCAATGAATAAGATCCATGAGCCTAAACAACCTTACAATTAACTAGGTACATGAATATAATCTAGACAATGTACTTAATAAATATAAAATACATGAATACAAAGAATGTATGAACTCAATGTATCCAATGCATGCAATGTATCAAATGTATCTAATGTAAATATGGCATTAATTTTAACAATAGTAAGATTGTTGCATTTAAAAATTTGTCTTTTTGGTGACTAAAAGATCTATATAAATAAAAGAACTACACAAACTAAACAACTGATTTCTACGACATGCAAGGCCTATACAAGTAAGAGTGAAAACAACAAGATACATATAAATTTTATACAAAATGATGTGGTAGACTGAGACAAACTTTAACATAAAGGACCCATTAATATGGGTTATAATTTGTAGAATGCAACAACTACATCATTCTGGTGTGAAACATAATGGTACCAATAATACACTTCTAAGTGAAAATGAGATTTTTGGCAGAGCCTTGCCACTTTTTTCTTTACTCATCTTTGGTGAAGAAACTATAGTCACTACAAAAAAATGTACCTTTGGCGACTAAAAAAAATTTAGTCGTCAAAAGTTATGGAATTGGTGACTAACATTTTTTTTAGTCGCCAAAAGTAAAATATTTAGCTACTAATTTTTTTTAGTTAGGGTATATTCATTATTGGCGACTAAAAAAAAATTTAGTGGCTAAAAATGCCAGAATTGGCAACAAAAAAAAACTTAGTCGCTGTATATTGACTTTTGGCTACTAAAATATTTAGTCGCCGAATGGGAAATAAAAAAATTATTTTTTCTCTTTTTTAGTCGCCAAAATGTTACTTTCAGCGACAAAAAAAAATAGTCGCCTTATATTGACTGTTGGCTACTAAAATATTTAGTCGCCGAATGAAAAATAAAAAAATTATTTTTCCTCTTTGGCGACTAAACTTTTAGTCGCCAAAAACTTACTTTCAGCAACAAAAAAAATTTAGTCGCCGTATATTGATTTTTGGCTACTAAAATATTCAGTCGCCAAATGAAAAATAAAAAATTATTTTTTCAGCGACAACAAAATAATTTAGTTGGTGAATATTATTTTTTGGTGACCAAAATATTTTCAGTTGCCAAAACTGCTACAATTGGCGACAAAAAATTTATTTGGTCGGCATTGATAGCAGATTTTTTTGGGGAAAAGTTTTTCAAATTTGGAGGCAATTCATTTTGACTTTTTCTTTTCATACATATTTGTTTTTATCAATCCACCCAAACCAAACCCAGAAGACTCTTGACTCTTGCTCTCCCTCTCTCTCAGGGACGACTCACCATCACTTTAGCCCCTATCGCTCACCGTTGATCTTCCACCATCGTTCACCGTCGATCTTCCATTGTCGCACACCGCCACCGCCGTTGTTCACCTCGTAGCTCCTCGCATTGCATTGCTTCGACAGTGAGGTTTTTATCTTCCTCTCTCTATTTCTCTTACTCTCTCTATCTCTCTCCCTCTCGGTTCTGTTTTTCTGTCTCTCTTTCTCTATTTCCCCATTTCACTCTACATTTTGTTTTTGTTTTTTTTTGTTTTTTTTTATGGTGTAGGGTTTTGATTTATGTGAAATCAATGAACCAATGATTAAAGGAACATGTAATTTCTTAGGGTAATTGTTGTTTTGATTTATGTAATTTCTTAGTGTATGTATTACTATTGTTTGGTCTATGCTTGTAATTGTTGTTGTTTTTCACCCTCTTGCTCACCATGTATCTGAAAAAATGTTCAAACGAAATTCGTCCATGCTTGTATTTGTTGTTGTCTTTTGGCCCTTTTGCTTACCATGTGTTTGACAAAATGTTCAAACGAAACTGGACAATGCTCACGTGTTTGATATGTGAAGCCATCCAACATTGGAGGTTGAAGCTGAAGGTATTTTAATTAGGATGCCCTTCTTTCTCTCTTCAATCCATATTCCTAATACAAATTTAATTCAAGTTGAAATAAGTCTGTTTGGGAGGCATTAGATGATAATGTGATGTTTTCCATTACATCTCTTGCCTATACTAATGTCAGCTGATACATGCATGAAACAAAGCAATGCCTTCCATGGGAGCATTACTTGAAGATATGCTTGGGTGGTTATCCTTCATTCAATTGATGCATTTAAATGCAGTTTTCAAAATTAAAGAAGGGATAAGAATATGTAGCTTTGAAGACCCAACCTCTCATTCTATGCAATTAATTAGTTCATGATTGCCTTGCATGACTAAATGTTTATCATTATTTTCTTTTCCGTTCAAGTTATGAAACAAAGTTTTTTTTAATTCTAATGTAGTTAAAAAATAAAATATTTGTGAAGTAATCTAAAAATAATTCAATAAATAAAATAAAAAATACGAAAATGTACTGAATTTTTGTATTTAGTAAATTTTTAAAAGAATTTTTAGCATTTTTTTAAAACTTTTAAACTGCATCTAAATAAAAATTAAAAGCATTTGATTAAAACATTTTTAAAAAAAATACTAAAATCCAAAAAAATTGGAGTTAAAAATTAATTTTGAAAACTCTCAGGTGTGTGTGCATGAGATAGTGGGTTGCTTTGCTTGTATCATATGAAAAGCTGCTCAGCTTGGAGATGGATCAACAATGGGAATGTCACATTATTAAAGGGTCCCAACAAAAAATAAATAAAAGATAAAAACAAACAAAAATAAACCCTTCCCTATTGGTTGGCTTTGATGTTATGTGACATATGAATTGCTTTTGGCACTATGAACATTTCTTTTTGAACGTATAATATAGATATGCTTTCCCACTGGACCTATATATATATATATATATTGTTCATTATTAATCCTTCATTTAGTTATTGAATTTCTGTCATGGATTCTAATGCTATCAGCTTTATAAATACAATGAAGATCTTTGTTTCATAATCAATGATGATGAAATATTTATCTTAATAAATTTATATTTTATTGAATTTGTGGCATTGTTGGTCTTCAAAGACAAATAATGAAAGGCAAGTTGTTGTAACTTCTTTAGAATTATTTTTTTTAATATTTTTTTTGGTTTCTATATCATGGATTCTTATGCCTTGAAAGCAGAACAAGATGAGGGCTTTGAGTAATTGGAGGAGACAGTGATAAGCACGAAACATATTGCTTTCTTTCTTTAATTCTTGAATCCTAACAAACAATACCAAACAATACCTTTGAGTTGCAAATGTCATAAACTTAGTCGAAAACAAGGTTGTTAAAATCGGGATCTTACGTTGGATCGATGGAGGTGTTTATAGGATCGGATCGTAGAATCGGATCGAGGATCGTAAGATCCTACCGAAAAAGACAAATTACATAATAATTTAATTTAAATAAATATTTCTTATAAAGTATACACAAAATGAACCTATATTTTATTAAAAAGAAGTAAAGATATTGTGAAAAATATAAACTCCATGTAAAATGTACATATAATATTATGCAATAGAAAACTCGATGGTAAAAGTTCTGTATTTTATCAAAAAAGAAGGTGAAGAAGAAGAAGAATTCTATAACAAAATACTTTACAATGTACAATAATGCATAAAAAGTGAAGAAAAAATATTTAACAAAATTGGATATGAAAATAGATTAAGAACTCAAAAGGGTAGCTTAGTCGAATGATAAGGTTTGTCGTTAGCATCCCTGGTGGAGCGGATTCGAGTTACAAAAATAATTTCTCTAGAAATTGGGATAAAGTTACAATCATCTTACCCTTCTTAGACTCCGCTAAAGCTAAGTTTGTTTTTCTGACTATTTAATTTTCTTAAATTATCGTAATATTTGAATGTTTGTTTCCTAGTTTGTTTTTCTTAGTCTATTTGATTCAATACTACTTAATTTTTATTATTTATTTTGACAACATAAATTGATATTTAGACAACAAATATAAAATTTACAACAAAATATGTCATACAATACAAAACAAGGCTTGTAAATTGGATCGGATAGGATCGGATTCGGATCGGGATTCCACGATCTTATAAGATCCCACTACCAGGATTGAAAGATCCTGCCTATAAGGAGTTTTTTACACGATCCGGATCTATTGCACTCAAATGGATCGTAAGATCGTAGGATCGTAAGATCCGGATCGGGATTCTGATAACCATGGTCGAAAAAAGGCGTTCGGGGGTGATGTTGAAAGGCAAGTTGTTGTAACTACTTAATGTTTATTTTATATATTTTGGTAGTACAACTGTGCAAATTTCTCTTAAATTAGCAGCATGCATGTGCACCTATGTCCATTTCTGATTATATTTCTAAGAAGATGTAGTGATGTTGAATGAACTTATGTAGGGGTTATTTCTAAGATGATTTTCTTATCCCTGGTTAACATTAAGAAAGAAAATTTTGTTTTCCCATTTAGTCTCCTTACACTGTAAAGAGCTGTTAGGAGTTTGGTGTCCCAACTTATAGAACAGACGCTAGCATTTTCCCTCGCCATTATAAGTGCCACTATGGCCTCCTGAGTTGTTCCTAATAGGCATATCCAAGCAGTGAGGGAGAGCTCAGCAGGATATGTCTTTAGCGTGATTGCCTAGAGAAACAGAAACAAATATAATTATGATCTCAGATAAAAATTAATTGTCCATATCTAGCCCTTGAACTACCGTGTGACTCTCACGGATAACTTCCCCATGAGAAATAGGACTTGTGACAACTGACGGAATGTAATTCAAACCTGTAGGATGGGAGTTAGAGTCGAATACGCCCTAAACTTACTCGAAAAAGGGCTTTCCGGGGGCGAAAATTCAAAACGGCCCCCGAACTACCGTGTGGCTCTCACGGATAGCTTCCCCATGACAAATAGGACTTGTGACAACTAACAGAATGTAATTCGGACTCGTAGGTTGGGAGTTAGAACCGAATACACCCTAAATTTAGTCAAAAAAGGGCTTTCGAGGGGCGAATGTGTAATATATGCTGGTGAATGTGTGTGTATATATATAATGCTGTGTGGATATGTATAATAATGCTGTGTGTATATGAAAAGGATGAAGGGAAACAATTGTCGTAAAGTTGCCTTGTTCAAATATAAAGGTGGGACAAATCTTTTCCTTATTTTTGTGCAGATAATTATACATCCTTTTGGTAATTTTTTTTTATTAATCATAGCAATGTAAGTATTAGGACGTTGAGCATCCTTATGGTTTAGAGATGAGTTTTTGTTGTGGAACTGGAAATCAACATTATTGGCAGATGAGCTTTCGGGAGAGAAAATTCAAAACAGTCCCCGAACCACCATGTGGCTCTCACGGACAGCTTCCCCATGAAAAATAAGACTTGTGATAACTGACGGAATGTAATTCGGACCTGTAGATTGGGAGTTAAAGTCGAATAAGCCCTAAACTTAGTCGAAAAAGGGATTTCCGGGGGTGAAAATTCAAAACAGCTTTCGAGCCACCGTGTGGCTCACACGGACAGCTTTGCTATGACAAATAGGACTTGTGAGAATTGACGAAACGTAATTCGAACCTGTAGGTAGGGAGTTAGAGCCGAATACGCCCTAAAGTTAGTCGAAAAAGGACTTTCCGGGGGAAAAAATTCATAACAGCCCCCGAACCACCGTGTGGCTCACACAGACAGTTCCCTCATGACAAATAGGACTTATGAGAACTGACGGAACGTAATTCGCACCTGTAGGTTGGGAGTTAGAGCTGAATACGCCCTAAACTTAGTCGAAAAAGGGCGTTTCGGGGGCGAAAATTCAAAACAGCTCCCAAACCACCGTGTGGCTCACACGGACAGTTCCCCCATGACAAATAGGACTTGTGAGAACTGACGGAACGTAATTCAGACCCGTAGGTTAGGAGTTAGAGCCGAATACGCCCTAAACTTAGTCGAAAAAGGGCGTTTCGGGGGCGAAAATTCAAAACAGCCCCCAAACCACTGTGTGGCTCACATGAACAGTTCCCCCATGACAAATAGGACTTGTGACAACTGACGAAACGTAATCCGGACCCGTAGGTTGGGAGTTAGAGCCGAATACGCCCTAAACTTAGTCGAAAAAGGACTTTCCGAGGGCAAAAATTCATAACAGCCCCCGAACCATCGTGTGGCTCACATGGACAGTTCCCCCATGACAATAGGACTTGTGAGAACTGACGAAACGTAATTCGGACCCGTAGGTTGGGAGTTAGAGCCGAATATGCCCTAAATTTAGTTGAAAAAGGACGTTTCGGGGGCAAAAATTTAAAACAGCCCCCAAACCACCGTGTGGCTCACACGGACAGTTCCCCCATGAGAAATAGGACTTGTGAGAACTGAAGGAACATAATTCGGACCCATATTTTGGGAGTTAGAGTCGAATACGCCCTAAACTTAGTCGAAAAAAAACTTTCTGCGGGCGAAAATTCAAAATAGCCCCGAACGACCGTGTGGCTCACACGAGTAGCTTCGCCATGACAAATAAGACTTGTGAGATCTAACGGAACGTAATTCAGACCCGTAGGTTGGGAGTTAGAGCCGAATACGCCCTAAACTTACTTGAAAAAGGGCTTTCCGGAGGCGAAAATTCATAACAGCCCCCGAATACACCTTACATTTAGTCAAAAAACTTGCAACACTTAGTTAAAAAAGCAACAATTTTATTAAAATAACATCTACATATTCTAATAATTGCCTTTATATATTTATAGGACGAAGAAATTACATATTACATTGTTTGTGCAGTTGGTTGGAATAAATATTGCATGATATATATATATATATATACTTTCTTTTATTTCCAAAAAGGCATTTCTCAATTGTTCTACCTTAAATGCATGTTAGAACATGTTTTATATGGCTGACTGAATTGATATTTTGTAACCAATTCTAATGTTTCGTTTTTTGTTTTTCTTTGTAGATGGCATGGTTGCGTGGACTTGTGGATAATCCATATTGGTGTATGGAGAAGAATTTTCACTTTGTATAGAGCTAATATAATACTTTTGTCATCCTCAACTTTTGTGTAGTTCATTATTACTGATACAGAAAACTTTTGGCAATCAACAGATAATGACTGCCATGGCACGTAGATCACCTTCTGTCGTGGTACATATATACCATTTGTTGGCATACATATAGGACGTTTTGTCATGGTCCATAGAAAACTTGTCGTGATATATCACTTTTTGTTGTGGTACAGATTACGATGGTAATTTGTACCATGCCAAATGGTAATTTCGCTTGGACGTAAATGTATTTTTTTTGTGTACGTAGGGTTTTGATTTTTGTATGATATATTTTGTATAGAATTATTATTTTAATTTGGACAATAGTTGATTTGTATGGACTTTGATATTTAATGTCATTTATTTTTGGTATATGGATGCAGATTGTGGAATGATTGATAGTATGTATCATTTTGTTTTTATACGTATTACAGGTTGCATTATATATAGACAGGTTATGGAGAAATTATAATTTCGCAATAAAACATAATATCATGTTTTTGGCGACTAAACAATTAGTAGCTAAAAAGAAATTGGCAAAAGACATTTGGCGACTAAAAGTTTTGTAGCAAAAAAAGACATTTGGCGACTCAAAATTTTGTAGCAAAAAAAAAAGACAGTTGGCGATTAAAAATTAACAGAGATTAACTAAAAAGATGAATACCATGCTCATTCCCACCCATGGGCTTTGCAATGATCACCTTAACATGGCAATTCACTGTATCCCTAGAATTATGCTCGGATCAAAAACTGGCTGTGACCCACGGATAGCAGCCAAACCAGTTATAACACTACAACATCTCATGGTAAGAAACCAGGGCATGCAGTCAATGAGAATGGGAAGGAACAAATATTGTGGCTGCTGCACAAATGGGATTTAAAAAATTTTTGAAGAGAGGGAGAGAGAGCAACAACCTACAATGCAAAAAATGGAAAACTGGACCATTAGCTTGGTGAGTTGTGACAGCAATGACCAAAATGGATGTAGATAATAAGCTTATTATTTTTAACATTAGCATTAAAAGGCCACGCACAAAACCTAAAAACAGCTCCCTTCTAAATTTAGAAAACTAGCGGCCGGGCACACGCGATGCGTGTGCAATTTATTTTTAATTCATATTATAATATGAATTTCATATTATTTTTTCTAATAATATACATATAAATAAAATGAGTAACTATGTATAATGTACCATTTGATATTAACGTATTTGATAAATAAAATACACGTACATTAAGAGACGTACAAATCTTTAAAAAAATACAATATTTACTAATCTTAACTAAAAAATTTGTATAACAAAAATTCATATAAAATCTGAATTTGATAACATGAGACTGGAGATCCTGCAAATCCTGCCAAAAAATATGTAAGATATATGTAAAAATTAGTTTGCTAATAATATACATTGATTAAATTAAAATTTTACGTTCTTAAAGTGAGCCATAATTATACATATGCGTACTTTAGCTAATAGAGTACAATAATAACTTTGGTTTTCTAATTGACTTATTATGTATAAAGACACAGAAGGTAATTATTGTGTTAATTTTTTATAAACAAAATTAAAAACTTACATTTTGACATAAATTGACATAGTCCAAATCACACGTCATGTCCAACAATCTCTTCAAATTGTCTTGATGCAATTTTTGCCATAGATCTATGACAACATTAAACTATAAAAAATAAGATGAAATTGACAAAAAAATGAAATACGTAATTTTTGTTATACATACAAACCTATAAGTATATTACCTTGTAACAACGTTGCACATATCTTTGTAAGCTTTCAATTTTTTTATCATTTGTTGCCTATAAAACTAAGGCAAAATATCTCACTTCCTTGTAAGTCGATTGTTTGACAAATTTATGAAATCTAAAATTAAAAAATAAATAAATAAATAAATAATATTATTTAAAAAAAAAATAAATAAACATCACAAATTTATTAAAAAAATAAATAAAGAACACTTACAATTTTGATATAAACAAAATTAAATAATAATTCTTAAAAAAATAATACTCATTTTAAAAATTATAAATTCAAGATTCTTAGAATATTTATAGTCAAATAAATTTGATATACACACAATATATATATATATATATAAACGATTACGTTGAATTTTTTTTTTTTTTTTTTTTTTGATATAAACCAAGTAAAATAATAATCAAATTTTTTTCCTAAGAACTTGATAATATAATGAAACTTTTCATCTTTTTTTTTTTATTTTTTAATGAAAAAAATAAAAAATATAATTAAATTAGTACACACAAAATACAAAAATACAAACCCATTAAAACACTTACAATCAAAGAGATTTATAAAAAAAAAAATTAAAATTAAAATAACCTAGCCAAAAAAAAAATTAAAAACAATGCACACCGAAAACAATAAATGGAATTAACACTGTATGAATTTGAAATTCATACAAAATTTCAGAATGAGATGGCCATCTCTCAAAACCTGTGTAACTAAGAAAAAGGAGGACTACAAGCACTGTTTGAAACTTCCGGAAGGTCCGTAGAAGAATAGACATATGATCTTTGAATTGAGGAAGAAGGTGAGGTTTGAGAGCTCTCAAAAGCCTTCTCAATTGAATCAACTTGTTTAGAAGAATAAACATATGATCAAGCTTCTGCTTCAGTCGCGGCAAGAGGGGGAGAGAGATCTCAACAGATCAATCGAGAAGGGTTTGCAGGTGGCAAGAAAAGAGGTTTGCGGTGGTGATTCTAGCAACGGTAGCAATAGTTGTAGTTTCCGGCAATGCAGCGGCGAAGGGAGGAAGAGGACTCTGGAAGTGAGCTTTGGGGATGCGGTACCCATAGGGGTAGTAGAGAGAGAAAACTCTGAGCCAAGAAATATGAGAACAAAGGAGAGAGAGAGAGAGAGGAAATTGAGTATTGGGTAGTTTTTTTTGAACAACCAAGTATTGGGTAGTTGATTGAGGGAGAAAGGGGAAAACGTGGGATGTGGTTTTTTTTTTTGGTCAAATCATCTAATTTACACGTGGACATGGTTGAGGCTTCATGACACCAAAATTGGTGTTGGCTTTTAATAATAGAATAGATGTCCAATCTTTTGGCGACTAAATATTTAGTCGGCAAATGAATACATTTGGCGACTAAAATAATTTTAGTCGCCAATTAGCTTTCCCGACTACTCTTCGGCTACTAATTTTGCGACCAAGAAATTTAGTCGCTAACGCCCTTCGGCGACTAAAAATTAACTTTTGGCGACTAAAAATTTAGTCGCCAAAATTAAAAATTCTTATAGTGAGTGCCCTCATTCAATATGTGGGTGGAATTAGAAACATAATAGACAAGCCTCTTTCAGTATACTTTAATGTATTTTTTAAAAATATTGGGGGGAAAGAAAAATTTCTTTTTTGCCCTTGAAAGATGGCTGCACTCTACCTCTGTGGTCAAAACTTCTAATGCCCATTAGCAATTGGACTTATTTGAAATAATGTATCACAATTGAAATTTTAGGGATTAAACTGATACTAGTGTGAAATTTTAGCAACTACTTATGCAATTTTACCTTAATTTAGTTTCCCAACCCCTTGGCTTCTTGTACCCAATAATATCAGTTAGTCCTCAATTAGTTATGGGTGTTGTCAATAAATGTCTTAATGGCATTGGTTAACAATGCTTAAAATAGTGGTAAATTATTTACAATGCACACTATTGTAAAGAATGCATAACAATTTCAAACTTGTTAACGATTATTTTAGAACACTTTATATTATGCCATGAACCATGGGATCACGTCACAGTTTTGTTTTTAATCAACAATAGTATTTATATATTGTCCATCAAATAAATACAAATAATCAACTAGGTCAGTTTAAAACTTATTCATCTGATTATGAACAAGTTGCTTTCAGTATAAGCCTTGACAATAATCATTATAGTTTCCCAATTTGGTTACGCAATATTTTGTTGAAAATGCATCTAAATAGAAAATATCACTTAAAAATATTTTATATTCAACCAAATGAAATTGTAAAGTCTAAATATCTATGGTTCAATCATCCCATTTGGTTGTAATAACAATAATAATAAATCCCATTTGGTTCAATTATTTTTATTCCATTGCTTTATAACATCTAACAGACAATTGACAATGGAAATTTGGTAATGAGAAATGTCAATTGTTACAAATTAACAAAATGAAGAAATAACTAGGAAAATGTTTAAAGTTCAAATATTTTTTTTATTTTTATTTTTTTGTTGAACGTAAAATCAACCCCATATTTGACTAGGAAAATGCTATGAATTATGAATTCGTCTTCCAAATTCTACCCTGAAAATGAGGTGCATTAGAAAGATTGTGATCCGTAAATGTACTAATTTTTTGAGTATGTATTATTGTTGATATGAATAAGAAAAGGTTTCAATTAGTTCCTTAATAATGGAGTCTTTGTCTTTTTAAATTTTGCCAATGATACTTCTTAGGACCACAAATTGCTTACAATTTCCACATAAAACTATGAGTTTATTAACTTTAAACAAGATTAGGTAGAGATCATAGCCCACTATTTAGTTTTGTTAGGCATTAATTTAACTCTCTCTCTCTCTCTCTCTAAATATGATAGATCTTAATAGTGACACCAGTAGCCTTTTGGATTGCAGAGTGTAGTCCAGTTCGTTGGCTCCATCACAAGTTCTATTTTGGTGATTTAAACTATTTACGAAAAAATTTAGATTAATTTGATAATTTTTATATATGATTTTCATTGTCTTTGTCTTAAAAATGAGACAGCTTATGTTCTAAAGACAAAAATGATGAAATCTTTTTATAGATGATTTACACACAATGATCTACGGTAGCCACCATTTAGTCCAAATAAGATAATTGCTGAGAAGTCCATTCTGTTCCATATTATCTATTTTTTATTTGTTAATTGCATTATAAACTCAATTAAGTAGCCATGCCGATGATTGCAGGAAGAAGAAAAAAAATTCATGAAATTAAGTTAATCGCTCCATATGGAAGATAGATAGCCAATTTGTATGTCATCGCTTTTATTAAGTTATTTTTGTCAATTTATTTGAGTTATTTTTGCATCATAAGTTATAAACATGTGCTATATATTCTGCCACATATTCCCAAAATTATAAAAAAAATTAAAAATAAACCATAAATAACCTCAATAAAATATATACCAAATAGGCCCTTAGTCTGTGAGTGGGAATAGATGAAAAATGATGATCATATAGATGCTTATCACTACAGGAAATGAGGCAATTAACGGCGTTTTATTAAACGTCACGTTTGCTAATTTTTAACGGCGTTTTGTAACCGTTGCATATTTTTTAAAACCAAAACGGCACCGTTTCTAATTGAAGGCGTTTAAAAGCGCCTCCGAATGTTGTAGGTACACGCGCCCCTTTATGAAACCCTTATTTTTTAATCTGAGTGCAAATTTCGCGCACATCTCTCTCTCTCTCTCTCTCTTAGCGACAAAGAAGACGGAGGAGAGCAATCGGTTGTTCTTGAAGCTTGAATATATAACACTGAGTCTTAGCTTGAATATGCACACATCTCTCTCTCTCTCAATCCTTGTACGTACACATTTTTTCATCGAAGCTCCATCTGCCCCTGCGATTTCGAAGATTCAGAGCGATTTCGAAGTGATTTTGAAGATTCAGATCGATTTCGAGATTCAGAGTGATTTCGAAGCTCCATCGCCACCGTCATCTGCACCGGCAAGGTAGCGAGCTCCACCGTCTCTCTCTCTCTAGATCTATGAAATCAATGTTTTGAAGGCATTCTTACTTGAACCTCATTTGTAGAGATTCAGAGAGAGGCTTTGACTTGATCCTCATTTACTGAACTTTAATCGATACTCTCTCTCTCTCTCTCTCTCTCTCTCTCTCTCTCTATTTCTTTCAAATTTTACTGCATATATAACATTTGTATACATCAATATGTGTGTTTGTTGAATTGATCTGTTAGGTTCTTTTTTGAACTGAAAGAAACTTCTACACTAATTTTCATACGACAATTTGGATAAATAGGACATAATATTGGGCCAAAAAAGATGATAGTTCAACAAAAATTTAACCGTAATTGTGAATCAATATTCTGGAAATACATATTAGATCACTGAGCTACAAAACAAACATTTGTTTTCCTGCGTTCATGTAATTACCTATATATTCACCATTTACAAATGCAACCATTGGTGGCCAAGGTTTGCTACTTGTAGGACTGGGTTAATATCACAACGTATTGGTAAGTCAAGGCAATCAAAACGTATACTGCAAGATAAATTCAAAAAACATGTCAGATCTGTGGAAAGTTTAGAAAGAAAATTGTGAAAGTTGAGTAAGATAGGATTACCTGGTGTTGTACCAAGCATAGTCTGAGGTATCTTTAGTCAAGCTATAGAGCTCCAATGGAGACTTGGTTTTTAGTGCTGCTGGAATGGCTCCTCAGTGCCATATCATCCTCGGCTACTCTGTTTGGAAGGATGACACAGGTAATTTAAAGTTCCCATTTGAATTTCCATGTTCTGTCATCAAACGAAGTTTTAGTCCTTTCGTTAGTTCAGGTGTTTGCTATTATTTTTATTTACAGAGTTTCCGAGGAACTCCGCAAGGAGTTAATCTTTCCTTTGTAAATGGTGGTCTGACTGGTGGAGCAGAAACTTTACACCAAGTTGAAGCCAAATACCCAACTTTGCTTTTCAAGCAGTAACTTACAGCATTTGTAGAAAAGATTTATGGAATGATTTGAGATAACCTTAAGAAAGAGATTTCTCCATTGCTTGGGTTGTGCATCCAGGTAATTGAATCTGTTCGATTCTTAAATTACGAGGCACAATTTATTGTAACAGGAGGAATGAAATTCTTTATTCTATGGGTTATTTTATTAATTTACTTGGTAAATTATTTCTGTATAAAATTTCTTTCGGAATATGAAAAAATAGGCACCAAGAACTATTAAGGAGAGAATGCTGTTCATTCAGTAACGGTGAATATGTTAAAGTAGGACTCACTGAACTCGAACATTGGTGTTATAATACAACAGATGAGGTAGCACCAGCATTGATTTATTACCACTTCACTTTGTGTTGTATAATTTCTATTTTAGTAAGCAAAAGCATATTGCAATATGCAGGTTTAGCTTGGGATGAGCTAAAGCATATCAGACAGGCTATAGGGTTTTCGGTATACCCTTCCTTTCATTGTTCATCTTGGACTCTTCTTTTTCACCATTAGTCGTTCTAAACTTTGAAATGGAAGAATCCCACCTGAAAGGAAGCACAATTCCATAAACCACAAACATGAGATATTAGCATCTCTATAAAGGATGGAGTGTTTTTCATTAACTTTTTTGACGACATGAAAACTAATAATTTTCTGCATCAATTGGCAATCTTCTTTTAAACTTACTTGAACCAAATATGAGAGGTTCCAATTTCCACTCTATTCACTACACCAAAAGAATGTAGGATTCCACCATCAATTCAATATGTAGGAATATTACCAATCTAAGACTTCAATAAGCATATATGCCAACAATTTATGATTATTTGAGATCTTCAGAAGATAAAATTCTTTCTGGCAACAAGTTTTAAGTACTGTTTATAAGTATTGGGTACAAATTCTTTAATTTGTGTTTATTTTGGTGAATCTAACTGCAGTTTATGTTTTGCAGTTATTCAGTTTTTCCTATAATCCCATTAACTTCCTATCAAGGAATTTCCTTTTGCACTCAATAACTATCTTTGTGGAAAGTCTTTTATCTGCTTGCCTTAGCATTCCTAGATCTCAATCTTTTTGTTGTCATTGTTGACAGATTCAAGGATTATATCCTTGCAAAGTATCATTCCTTATATGAGTAGTACCTTAAAAGAAGTGACAACGCAGTCGCCATGTGAAGTAAGAAATTCTTCCATGTAAAGTATTTATATAAACCAAACCAAACCAAACTAAGCCTTAAGTCCCATCATATCTTTTTTGTCCTTAGCAGTACCTTGTTGAAATAGAAACAAATGTTAGCTATATACTTATATATATATATATATATATAGAGGGAGCACCCAATTTGGTGTTCATGAAGTTTTGTGGACTTTTATTTTCCAAAAGTAAAACCTGACTTTCCACTTACAAATAGTTACAACTACTTTATATATATATATATATATATATTATATTTTGTTAATTTGGCACACAGTGTGTGCCTCACCTTCTAGTACGATGAAATGTAGTACTGCTACAGGTTATTGAGATTTTAAGTTGAACACAAGTGATACTGGCATATTGAATGCAATTTGAGTAAACTAGTTTCAGAATTGAGGAAAAAATTAAATTATTATATTTTGCTTTATATGCTTTGCAAGATAAACTCTTTGAGAGCAGAATTTTATTGTTGATTTTCAGAAAGGCTCGACAACTAAATGATGAAGTTACTTGATGGGCCAAAAAGAATCTGTATATGTGCTCTATTTGTGTTCATACTTTAGAACATTTGGTGATTTCTTACTTCGTATGTTTTAATATGCAGAGTATTTGAGGTCAATGGAAAAATAAACATCATTTTGCGATTTGATTGAATATGTTCTTGAAGTTGTTAAGTTGTGTCATGGGTGGATGTATCTTCGTCATCATTTCTGGTTTGATTAATTAAGTTGGCTGATTTAGTGGACTAAATACTTGATTTTTGTCTTTTTCTCAAAAGAGATCTGCGGTTGCACAAGTTGGTCTTATTTTGTTCGTGGGCAGGTTGTTAAGATGAGCACATAGATATTATTATTTTGGTTTAAGGACATGTTTATGTTGCTTTTTATAAAGATCAAATGTATTAAACAATTAACATATTTTTTTTATTTTTGTGGAAGCTACGCTTTCCCAGTGAAGCACCTTGTTGTCTCTTCAGATGGTCAATTCACCATAATTTCTCTTTAGAAGCTTAAGCTGTCACTTAATAGTTTACATAAGCCTTCACCAATAAAAGGCTCTTGAAAATGGTTCCACCAAATAGAAACATTTTTCAATTTGGTTATAGAAATTCTTGCCTCCCATGGACCAAATGCATGCAAAAACTCTGTTGTGTGGTGTCTTTTTGCTAAATTCTGCAATTCAGTTTTGTCTCTTTCTTTTTTATTTATTTTTTCTTTCGTAATCAGCATTTGTGAGCTTATATTTTTCTACACATTGATGATGCATGCAGGGGCCATGGTTTCAGCAAATCAGTATTTGGCCCTAAGACAGGTATACTGTGTGACCAGGTATTTCGTTGATATTTTTATCTTTGCTTTGCCATGTTTGAGTTTCCATGTTCTTTTTTTGGTTCTTAAATACTTTCGATGAAGCTGCCAGGTACCTCAAGTCTCTCAAGGTTGAAGTGCAGAAAATTGGAGTTGGAAACCTGCAAAATTAAGCTTGAATCTTTGTTGCGGTAACAATGATTGAACCTCCTAGTTTTACCATTAGTATAAGTTCATCCTCTCTCTCTCTCTCTCTCTCTCTGAGTAGGTTGGCTGTACAAAATGTGATGATGCTGGTCTTTCAAATGCGCACATGATTATGGCAGAGATTCCAAAAGCTTCAGAAGCGGTGGTATAGGTGCGTGACTTGGGGTGAAAAATTAAATTTCTAGCAGTATGGTGGTTCTTGCTTTATGTAGGAAGGGTAATATTTGATGTGTATTATTAATACTCTGTTCAACTCTGGAAATTTGGAGGCATTGATTAGAAAATCTGGACATGAGAATTTTATTTTGCGGTAACAATGATTGAACCTCCTAGTTTTACCATTAGTATAAGTTCATCCTCTCTCTCTCTCTCTCTCTCTCTCTCTGAGTAAGTTGGCTGTACAAAATGTGATGATGCTGATCTTTCAAATGCACACATGATTATGGCAGAGATTCCAAAAGCTTCAGAAGCGGTGGTATAGGTGCGTGACTTGGGGTGAAAAATTAAATTTCTAGCAGTATGGTGGTTCTTGCTTTATGTAGGAAGGGTAATATTTGATGTGTATTATTAATACTCTGTTCAACTCTGGAAATTTGGAGGCATTGATTAGAAAATCTGGACATGAATGCTTGATGCTTTGTGTCTGACCCAATGAATATGAAGGCATAATTATTTCTTGGCTAAACACAACTTTTAAGGTGGTAATCTGACCCAATGACAAATGTTATCTGTCCTAATTTATGGTATTGATTTGAGTAGTGGAAATCATTATAACTTCTTCCCAACCCTATTGCCTTAGGCACTATTACTTTTTATTATTCAACTGTTAACTTCACTTTTATCTTTAAATTACTCTCATTTTATTTTTTGGGATTGAACTTATTGGATTTTTTTCTTGAAGGATGTTGTATGGGGTACTATTATAGATGTGAGAGAATAGTAATCTCACATAAATATATGTCTATACAAAGTTTTATTCATTATTGCTATTACAGGTATATTTTTGAAGTTAAATCTCACAAAGTTAGTAGTTCAAAAAAAAAAAAAAAAAAAACTGTTGCGGCGTTTTTCAAAACGCCAATATAGTTATATTTTTAAAATAACAAAAAAGTTATTACGACGTTTTTGAAGCGTCACTAAATGCCTATGTGATGTCATGTTACCGTTGACTGCCACATTAAAAATGCCGCCTATACTAATTTTACGACGTTTTTAAAGCATCATAAACTTACAGCGACGGCCGCGTCCTCGGCGTTTAGTAGTAAGTGTCACTAAAGGAATTAACGGCGTTTTTCAGACATATAGCGGCATTTTTAAAAATGCCGCTAAAAGTCATTTTTCCAGCAGTGTATAGTTTGGAGTGCATTAGAGACAGAAGAACAAAACTCCGATACATAGGATTACTTGTTACAGATTGATCAAAATTGAAAAGGAAAATAAATGTTGCAAGCTTGACATGGTTTGCAACACTTTTTAAATCATTGTGAATATGTGATCAACAACTCTTCCATGTAACCTTTTGAGTTTTAATTATAACTTTTTTGCCAAATTTAATCAATATTATTACCAGTTCCAAGAATACTCATCCATGGACAATATAGCATTCTCCTAGCTAAAATCTTATATTTTCTTCGATAAAAAATGTAGCCATTAAACAACTTACTGAGCTACAAATTAGTTAATTAATCTGCGTGTTGACTCACTAGCTTACTAAAAGATTTAACAAAAAAAAAAAATCAAATGTAATAAACATAGTTACAAACCTTGGAAGGGCATGCTGCAATACAGCGTCTACCTAATCAATTTGCAAATATTTATTCCAACAGTTAAATTTTATTTAATTAACTCCAAGGAAAATGGAAGCCTCACTCTTAGTTACTATCTAGGCTAGTCAAGATTATTATATATGCTCTATATAAGCCTATAATTAATTATTCAAATAACTGTTAATTTTTATCAATTCTTTTTTTTGTTAAACTCATTGTTTATTCTCGGAAACAGACAAACAGAAAAACAAAACCAAACCAAACCAATTCAACCTCTCCTTAGGTTGTCGTCATCTTCAAATATTCTATGTTCTATGAACTGTTACATTGATTTGCTTCTTGTTTTATAAACAGTGTCCTCCTAGTGAGTCATTCCATCATCATAGTGTGGGGATATATTTTCTGAGTCCTAACACGTGGCCAAGGTGACGCCGACGTGTCAGCCGAGGTGCCACGTGTCCAGGTTACGACGCCGAGGTTATCTCGGCAAGGCCGAGGTTATCTCCGAAGATATCGGAATCTGAGATAAGCGGATAAGGCATAAGAGTCCTAGAATGAGGGAGGACTTTGGCATGGATAAGGATAACACTCTTAGGGAGTTTATCTTTATCTCTTAGAGAGTCCAGGATAAGCACTGAGCAAGAGTCCATTGAAGCTAGGCTTCTAGTGGGACAAGGATTGAGTTAACTATAAAAGAGAGGCACCCCCGATGGGTCTAAGGTACGCAATTTATATTCTAAACAGTGAGTTTAGCATTATTGATTATCTTTGAGAGATATACTGACTTGATCGTCGGAGTGCCTCCGGGTAGACGAACCACCGCCAGAATCTTCTCTTTCTGTTGCAGGTCAGCCAGGTGTCATCTATTCTGCCAGTGCTCTCTAACTGATTACTAAGTTGGGCAGTGTGATCGGAAAATCACTCACACAATTTGGCGCCGTCTGTGGGAAGGAAAGGAGAATAGATGGCCAGTGACGGACAAAAGGAGAAGATCGGGGACGACACTCTTGTTGGGAGTGGCAGACCTATTGACCTTGACGTTGAAGGAGACAACCGCAACACAAAAACTCGTGACCAGAATCACAGTAGGAAAGGCGTCGGCCAGGACGGCGGCGTACCAAAGAAACCAGAACAAAGCAGGTATTATAACTAAGACGACCTCCAAGTGTGGAAAGATAGATGCCTTCGAAGGGATGAAGAAGTAAAAGAGATGGCGAACAAATTGGCAGACCTACAATCGGTCGTTAATTTTATGAGCAAAACAATGTCATGCAGCCACCGTTCCCGCTACAGGGCACGCCGATTCCAGCAGCCAATGCACAGAAGGGAGGGCAGAAACCATTCCCAAAAATCCCCCAGCACACCAGGAGTGAAAAACACTCTCACCGGCCTTCAAGGGAGGTCAGACGAGGAGAATCAAGGAGAGAAGAGTCGCAGAGGACGCATCGCGCCAAGGAGGCAGACCCCAAAGAATATCGGCATATTCAGGGACAGGCGCTCTGCTTCGACGCAACTCACGGAAAAAGATCGAAAAGGACCCACCATGAAGCTGAGAGTAGTATGCCGAAAAGACTGAAGTCAAGAGATAGCCGAGCTCCTGGGCGAAACAAAGAAGACTTGAGAGATTATCTCAAGAGGAAGCAGCAGAATGCCGATGCCGAGGTAACTTCCCCTGAAAAGCCGAGAACACCATTCTCAGTGGAGTTAGACAAATTTGAGGCCCCGAAGAGATTCAGTATGCCGAGGTTCCAAATATACGATGGTAAGTTAGACCCCAACTTTCACGTTGGATTATACTTGAACTCAATGGCATTGTATAGTGGGAACGAGCCGTTGCTCTGCAAAGTGTTCCCCTCATCATTTGGGGAGATCGCATCAGATTGGTTCCAGAAACTACCTAAGGGAAGTGTGAAGACCTGGGAAGGCCTGGCCGAGATGTTTGTGGCCAGGTTCGTGACAAACAAGCTTCAGCCATTAAGGGTGGACGCATTGATGGCTCTGAAGATCAGTAAGGAAGAAGGCCTTAGGGCCTATGGAAAAAGGTACTATGAGGTGTTCAACCGAATACCAAAGTGTAATCAAGAGGTGGCGGTCGTATCTTTCAAGAACGGCCTAAAAGACAACTGTCCACTACGAAAATCTTTGGCAAAGACATCGCTAAAAAGTATGGAAGAGCTCATGGCGACAATCGAGAAGTATGCCAGAGCTGAGGAAGATACATCGGGGACTAAGGAGGCAAAGCAAGAGAAAGGAAACGGCTCGCCAAAACGAGGCCGAGGTAACAATGGATTGAGCAAGTAGGAAACAGAACTGAGGGCTGCATAGGCAGTGACAACTGTGTTCCGAATCCCAATTCATAAAGTCCTAGATCAAATTCGGAATCAACCCTATTTCAGAACACCAGCAAAGGCACCAGGAGAATTCATAGGAAGAAACCTTGGTAGGCATTGTGCTTACCACAATGAAAACGGGCATATGACTCAGGGTTGTAGAGCCCTGAAAACACATTTGGAAGACCTGGTGAGACAAGGCCATCTGAGAGACCTTGTTGATGAGGCCAGAACAAGGGAAGAACATGCAAGATTGCCTCAGGTGACAACAGCTCCACCTCCCCCAGCACAGTAACCACAAGTAGGAGGACCTCAGGTAATTAATGTAATGCACCCGAAGGTCAACGAAAACGAGATTCGGGGGGAGACCCAGAAGGTAAAACACCTGCAGCATGTCTACCAAGTCGGGGAGAAGAGACATCGGGCAGAAGAGTACCAAAGACCAATAGTGTCCTTTTCTGAAGCCGACCTTGAGATGGTGCGGCATCCGCATAATGATGCCTTGGTAGTATCCCTTCAGGCTGGGGAATGCCAAGTAAAGCGTATCCTGATTGACCAAGGCAGCTCTTGTGACATCATGTACGTCCGATGTTACAAGGAGCTTGGCCTTCACCCAGACGACATGGAGCAGTCCAATAGCCCAATGGTCGGGTTCAATGGAACGCCGACATGGCCACTGGGAACAACCAGCTTGGAGGTGTAGGCAAGCACCAGGAAGATAACAACAAAGTTCACCGTAATTGACACACTTTCCCCTTACAACATCATCTTGGGAAGGCCATAGTTGCATGCAATGAGGGCTGTTCCCTCACCTTTGCATTAACTATTGCGGTTCCCAACAGAGTATGGGATTGAGGAGGTTAGAGGAGATCAGCTGTAGGCAAAAAATTGCTCCATGGCAGCAATGAAATCCACCTGCAGCATTCGAAAACTAGAGAAGGCAGAGATCGAAGACGAGGACGTGGAGGTCCTAGAGGATGTCGGAAAGGAGCCAGCCGAAAAGAGTGAAGAAACACTGAAGAAAATCCTCGTCCAGGAGGGGGATGAAGAACGCTTCTTTCTTCTTGG